GGCCACACCGAACATTTTGGAATGTGCATACTAGTGATGCATGTATCTTTCTTCTCAGTGTTAGCTGCAGTCAACATATCAATAAAACATCATATTAAATATATCAATATATCTAGAGCGGATTTAACATTTATGAAATAATATATCTGGTGAAAATAGCCTCATTCAAGAAACTTAGCCACTTGCTCAGTGCCTTGTGAGAGTCCTAGAACAAAATGATCAAAAAAAGTTCAAGGCAGTGACCTTGTAAAAAGCTGTATGATAGAATATATTGGATCCTTCCCAACCTTTTGGTAATAAAACAATTGATAGAAAACAGGCAAGATGGATTATTTGGTGTTCTTATGGAGGTTAAATGTATAAATGAAATATAATGTGCCTTGTGTATGTTTCAGCATGTTGGATGTATCCAGAGATGTATCATCTCTGGGGCCAGAGGTTCAGATCAGGGTCTACAAAAGGAGTCATATTTATGCTCCACTAAGATGCAACTAATTATACTTTAATCCTAGGTTTATTTATTCAGAAGCATATCATTATAAGAACTGCTATCCAATTCTAGAAAGGAATGATACAGATCAATTTGCAGCTTTGTGTGACTTCCGCATCTCTATGGATCTAGAAAGAGTTCTAGATCGGCTTAAGGAGAGCATTCACAAACCTAGAAAGCTGGCATCAACCTATACACTGCAGTTTGGGAGGTTTAGTACATTTCATAGTTTATGCCATAATGAATCAGATCTTCTTTGGCTAAACTGCAGAGACAAATGGGGGAAAGGGAATGCGAAGGGAGGTCTTTGAATCCAGTCAACATCACTGCTTCAAAAACAAATGAGTCCTACTTCTCTTTCCAATTCTGCAGACTGCTTCATTTTCAAATGCTGTAAAAATTCAGCCCTTTTGCATGGAGTTCTTGCTGACATCATTGAGCACACTGTAGATACAGAATTCACTGTTTCTCTGTGTTGATGTGAGAAGGATAGGGTGGTGGAAAGAAAAATAAACTAAACACAAATCCCTTCTCTACAATTAGTGTCAGAAAATAGGAACTGCTCTGCTCCTTCCAGACAAACTGTCTCATTGGAATGAAAAGGCAGGGACAGAATTGCCAACATGGATCTTCTGTTTCACAAAGTCTCTCTGAAATTGTTTCAGGATTTAGCCCTCCATTTTTCATCATTTATTATTTATAAAAAGTGCCTAATATGCAGTAGGCATGATACCAAAATAGAAAGACAAGTCCTTGCCAGTAGGGCCACAATTTAAGAACTTGAGACAAAAAAAGGAAAACCGAGGGAGATGGGGGCGGGGGGAGGAATCCTGCCAGTTTTTGGACAACAGAGAAAGGGATAGGAAAAGGTTAAAAAGTATATAGAACTTTTAATTTGGAAGCAAGAAAGAATTTTAAAAAGTGAATCAATTAGAATATCAGCAGAGATAGAAAAGGGGTTTGAACACATTTCTTGATTAACATAATTTCCTACTTGTTTAAGAGGCAGCATTTCTCTCTATTTCAGCATCAGAAATATTTTGGGCAAAGAAACAACTAATTTTAACAACATCAACTGGGATGAATAGTATAAAGACTGCTTTATGATATGGCGCCAACAATATAACTGGACAGGGGGCAAACAGATCCCACCAACTGTCCCTCCAATATAAAGAATTTACACCACTTTGGCACCAATAGAACGTTTGAGGGGATTGTTTCTCTATTTAAACTTTCGCTGCCACCATAACTAAATGTACAGGAACACTCTAGCTATTCAAAATAATAAAATGTTTTTTTAAGATCACCAAGTACTAGGTTGTATTAGTTTCTTAGTTAAAGGAAGCAGGTGAGGTTGAATGAAAAAACTATGGCCACAAATGGCACACTGGACTCAGGCTTTTAAGTTTCAAAATAATCAAGTAAAGTTTATTGATAGAGATACAGAATGAAGTGAATGTTGTCTAATAAGCTTGGCTGTTACAGTTAAAATGTTCTGGTTCTTGAAAGCGTAACGGTTGCAGGAGAATGGTTCTTTCTTTGTTACAAATATAAAACCCAGCTATTTTTCCCCTAAATAGCTGTACCCAGTTTGCCACAGCTTACTTCGCTGGCAAACTTCAGGCAAACTGCCTATTCCTAACACGAACTCCTAAAAACTTCTGTAATCCTGCTCTAACTCTAACATCAACCGACTCTCCCTGAAACAGCTTCTTTCTTTCCCTCCAAACAGTCTAACTCCGCCCCCCTTTAATAAACCAATCCTGGCTGCT